CTTTAAAAAATTTTTTTTTAGTGTTTATGTTTTAATAGGAGGAGGTAATTAGGTTTGTTTGTTTATTTAATGGAGGTACTGGGAATTGAACCCAGGACCTCATGCATGATAGGTATGCACTCTACCACTAAGCTATATCCTCCCCATCATACATATTTTATATGTAATTAGAAAAAAGAAAAGAAGTTCCTTTTTTTGTATCTGTATTTTTATTGAAGTATAGTCAGTTTACAATGTGTCAATTTCTGGTGTACAGCATAATGCTGCTGTCATACATGAACACACATATATTCATTTTTATATTCTTTTTCACCATAAGTTACTATAAGATATTGAATATAGTTCCCTGTGCTCTACAGTATAAACTTGTTTATCTATTTTATATATATTAGTTAGTATATGCGAATCTTAAGAAAAGAGTTCGCTTAAAAACTGCCTAGAAAAATCTTGATTGGTTTTTTGCAATGTTATATAGAGCAATCTGTATCTGTATATATAAGGTTTTATTTATAGTAATAAAACCAAAGAAAGATACATTTACGTGTCTTTCAACTCCGAGTTCCCTAGGACCATATAACCATGTGTATCTGTGGCTCTGACAAGTTCGGGGTTAGTTATCCTGAGCAGCAAGCCGGCCAGGGTAGGTGGTCAAGGGCTGGTCCAGCCTCTGTGGTGCCAGCTTCCTCTCTGTCCTGCCCTGGCTTGTAGTGTGAACTGCCTGGATCTTTTTGTTGGGATTTTGAAAGGGCTTAATAAATAGCACCCTTTCCCCTCACTTGAGTTCTGAGCTAAGTGAAAAATATGTCAGAGGAATAAACACATGGGAGCCAAAATACCACTTTCTAAAACTGATAGAGGTGAGGTTGAAAATACAGCTCGTATCTTTGTGCAAATGGACTTTCCCATAATCCCAGCATTAAATAGATTTACCCATGCAGCCACCAGCAATGCTGGATCTCAACATTGGCAGCCCTGGGTCTCCCTCTGTGGCCTGGGGCCAGGGTGTGTGTGGATCAGACTTGTGCCAAGAAGGAGCAGAATTTCCCTCCTTGTGTGCAGGAGAGGAACTGAGCACCCCAGTTCATTTTCAGATTCATCCGTCACGTTAACCCCCTTCTGCCTTCCCAGGGAAGAGCAGTGATGGGGGTAGGGGGTGAGCCAAGAAAAGAAAGATGGTGTGGAACATACATTCTCTTCTAAGCCTTCTAACTGGGTATTTAGTCTGCTTTCCTTTTGCTCATCTTGTTTACAATGTGTTCATCTTTCTAAGCCACATACAATTCCTTTGGGAAGTAGGCTCTGTACAAATCATGAATAAATAAAACTAAAATCTCCCCTGGATACTAATAGGAGGGAGGGCGATGGTGGAGGGATTTGAGGCAATGATCCCAGACACGTGGAGGAGTGGCTGGGCTGGATCAGTGCAGAGAGTGAGGACAGCTGGGCGCCGGTGGCCTGTGGCAGCCGCATGCTGGGATGTTGATGAGTTTCATGTATACCTGGGACAGTTCCTCTGTGTCAGGATGTGTGCATCTTCTGTACCCTTACAATTCTTGAATTTATATGTTTATATATGAATACCTTTGGCCTCTAAGACAAAGTAGTCAAAGAGGCTGACAAACCAAAAACTTCAGATACTAACTGAAAAGCAAAGGATTTCCTGTCTCATTGTGAAAAAGGCAGTTGAGTGCGCATTGATCTATTCAGCCCGCCTGCAAATAGCAGAGAACAGCCTTTTTCGTAGTATTTCTGATACATCTTTCACATCGCTATCAGTTTAGTTATCTACGTGGTTCATAGCAGTCCTTCTGAAACTCTAAGGGGTGTATGTGTGTGTTTGTGAATCACCAGGGTATTTTTTCAGAATGCAGATCTTGCTTCTGGAAGTCTGAGCTGGGCTGGGACCCTGCATGTCTAATAACCTCCCAGGCGAAGCCAGTGCTGCAAGTCCAAAGGACCACATTTTGAGCAGCAAGGGGCTAAAGACCACAGATTTTTGGCCCTTTTCACAGGTGGAAAGTCTGGGCTTGGGGTTGGGGCCACTGCTGCTAATTGAACTTCTACTTTATCAGGAAGAGCCCCACCATCTCTCATTGCTTTTTTGAAAGAAGGATGTCAGTTCTGGGTGTTTCGTAAGCCATGGCTCCTTTTTTGAATTCCACAGTTGTGTGACATTGTGATCACTACCCTGAGTTTACTGAGAGAGTGGCTTTGGACAAAAGGTGTTCATTTTACTATTAACCAAGGGAGGCACCACTTTCTTTTTCCTGTCACCACCCTGCAGGCTCTGTGCTGGCAAGTTTCTCTCTGGTGGTGGAACTCTGCGTGTCAGAGGTAAGTCTGTGAGCTCTGTAACCCCAGGTGAGCTCACCTTATAAACCCTTTGGTGGGGGAAGCAAATACACCCACACGCTTGGCTCTGCTTTTTAAACAATCTAGAAATTTTAACAGTGAATTGGGAGTTTGGTGGCAGACAGACGTAAGATCTGGGCATATTGGAAATGGTTTTGGAGACTGAGGGGGTCAGAAGTTTTTCCTTGGCAAAAAGTGGTCAGATAGAAAAGGCTGGACTGGTTGGCTGAGATCTCTCCAGCAGTCACAGTCAAGCGAGCATGTGTCCTCGAGACCGACTCATTCAGCCCCGTTTGTAAACATGATCATTTGACGGGTGAGGAAACCCCGACTCCAAAAGATGAAAGAATCTGCACTATGGAAAACGGTGTGGCATTTCTTCAATAAATGAAAAATAGAATTATCATATGATTCAGCAACCCCACATCTGGGTTTAGACTCACAGGAAGGGAAAGCAGGGTCTCAAAGAGATGTTGGTGCAGCCATAGTCATAGCAGCATTATTTATGACAGCCAAGAAGTGGGAGCAGTCCAAGTGTCCATTGATGGTTGAATGCATACAAGATTGTAGGTATATATGCTGGAATATTACTCAGCCTTGAAAAGGAAGGAAATTCTGAGATATTCATTACAACATGGGTGACCCTTGAGGCCATTGCGTTAAGTGAAGTCACAAAAGACAGTCACAAAAAGACAAATATTGTAAAATTGCACTCATATGAAGAATCCAAAATAGTCAAATTCATAGAAACAGAAAGTAGAATGGTGGTTGCCAGGGACTGAGGGGAGGAGGGCTGGGGAGTTAGTATTTAATGGGTATAGAGTTATGGTTTTGTATGATGAAAAGTTTTGGAGATCTGTTTCACAACAATGTGAATATACTTGACATTGTTAAACTGTACACTTAAAAATGGTTAATGGTTTAAGTCCTTTGCCATTTTTAATCAGATTATCTTTTGTTATTGTCGACCTGTAGGAGCTCTTCATATATTCTGGATATCAAACCCTTATCAAGTATATGGTTTGCATTTATTTTCTCCCATTCTGTAGGCTGCCTTCTCACTTTTAATAGGTTGCCTTCTCACTCTTAATTGTTTCTTTGAAATGTGCAGAAGTTTTTAGGTTGGTGCAGTCTCGTTTGTCTATTTTTTATTTTGTTGCCTGTGCTTTTGGTGTCATATTGAAGAAATCATTGCCAAATTCAATGTCTTGAAGCTTTCCCCCCATGTTTTCATCTAGGGGTTCAATAGTTCTAGGCCTTACATTTAGATCTTTAATCCAGTTTGGGCTAATTTTTGCATACGGTGTAAGGTAAGGGTCCAACTTCACTCCTTTGCATGTGGAGATCCAGTTTCCAAAACCATTTTCAGACGAGGCTTTCCTTTTCCCATTGTCTAGTCTTGGTTGATTTTCTTGTCAAAAATCAGCAGCTACTTTTATTTTTCACGTCTTATAGATGAGAAAAACAGGGTTAAATACATTGTAAAATGACTATAACGCAATAAAAAAAGTTAAAAAAAAAGCAGGATTAAATAAATGTGCTCAAGGTCATCTAAAAAGTGACAAAACCAGCACTCAAGGTCATCGTCCAAAGCCTGAACTCTAACTGTTGACATAAGGAGAGAGAAGGGGAGGGAAAAGTTTATCAACTTCTGGTGCGACTTTGCTGAGTTTCTTGATTTTATTATATTTAGAGGAGATGAGGAGGCAAGGTTAGTGGTTTCTTAGATGCTGTGGCCTCAAGTTCTTTAGTTCTGTTCCTTGTTCAGCCTGGCTTGGTATGGTGTTGTTCCTGAGCTTAGGACTCGGGTCTGGAGAGGAGTTGTAGCCTCTTCTGCTTTTCTTGAGCTGTCGGAAGCAAGTGTCCTGGGCATTTCTTCCCCACGCTGGTGGCTTGAGTGATGTCGCCATGTGACAGCTGTCCCTGGGAGTCAGACATTCCTTTTGCTCCTTTTTCTGGCAGCTGTGTATTACCTGATGGTAAATTCAGATTCTTCTTCCCCTCCTGGAAGTTACGATGGCTTGTGAAACTGTCACCCTGCAAAATGGTAATCCCTGTTACCTAATATAACTGGGAAAAGCAGGTGCAGGTTACTCTTGCTTAGAAGTAAAGAGCATATTCATGTAATTAATGTTTTCAGCAGGATGAAATGACATAATTTGCAAGTGCCTGAAGTTGAATTGTACAGTTTCTGACTTTCTAGCATGTGAGAATTCTTAACTATAATAAATTAATAATAATAATAATAATAATAATAATAATAATAATAATAATAATAATAGATTTTTGGTCTTATCAGATGTTTTCCTATTTTTTGGCTTTGAGTTCTTATGAAGGACATAGAAGTAAAGTTTTTTTTTGTTTTTTTGTTTTGTTTTGTTTTGTTTTAAGAAAGGCGGGCAGGGAAATTTAGGTGAACAGGAATGTGTGTAATGAATTCTAGACCTAATGTTCTGGCTGTAAATTAGCTTCTGATCAATGTATAAAGATGGACCACATGTTTTTTTCGCTGTGAGCTACCATAAGATCTTGTATGTATTTCCCTGTGCTATACAGTATAATCTTGTTTATTCTACATTTTGAAATCCCAGTCTGTCCCTTCCCACCCCCAGCCCCCTTGGCAACCACAAGTTTGTATCCTATGTCTATGAGTCTGTTTCTGTTTTGTATTTATGTTGTTGTTTTTTCTTTTTTAGATTCCACATGTGAGTGATCTCATATGGTATTTTTCTTTTTTTAAAATTTTATTTTTTTATTTTTGTGTTTTAATTTTTATTTTATTTGTTTATTT